GGGTCGAGCTCGACTCGTTTATGGGCTCGCGAGCACGCTCTGAATTATTTTAAGATTTTTGAAATAAAGTAATTAATATTTTTATTAAATTAAACGTAAAAAAAGATTGGTTATGTATTTCAATAATAAAAAAAAAGTTAAAGCTGCACTTTTCTTTTCAAGATGCTATTTGTGCATTAAATGATGCTTTATGAAAGCTGCAGCATAGAGAAACCTGGCCAGGTCAATTGATTACTTTAGCGAAAGACAGCCTACCAGTGCAGTGTGCAACGGTCCCAAATAAGAATATAACTTTAAATATAAAGCTACTAACTATTCCCAAAAATGTTAAAACCTACTGTAGTCTCGTTTTCAAAAAAGAAAAAAGAAAAAAAATCGAAAGCTGTCGCCCGATGCTGCGCCGGGGCTCGGACTCGTTTATAAAGTGGAACAAGCTCTATCGAACTCAGCTTCAAACCTTTTTGAGCTAAACTTGAGCTCGAGCTGAGTTCGATTTAACTTCCAACTGACAAGCTGACTTGATAGTGTCAAAACGATCTGAAACTACGACCGTTACACCCCTAGAGCCTACTCCATGATTGTTAAAATTATAGATTAATTCTTTATTGTTGCACTTTCTCATTTCACTCAAACATTTAGCAGCACCTGAAGAGCTTGGAAAGCAATTTAATTTAATCTCCATTAGTTGGCCTCAATTTGAATGACGCCTCATCTCAACATTTCTTACCCATTTAATTTACTACTTTAATTGAAATAAAGATAGTCCAAAGTCCATTAATGCAATGTATAAAACTTTGGCACTAAAGAATTTACTCTTTGAGTGCAAATAAAGAAATTATGAAATTTCCTCTTACTAGTTTTAGTGTTGGACCTATGTGGCCAATCTTAATAGTTGAATTGGTAGTTATGTTTTATGCTATTTTTTTACCCTCAAAAATATTATCAAATCTTTCTAGCAACTTCCTCTAATTCACTATCCACCTCCCAAGATCAATAACTAAGCTTCAAACCCAAGTCCATCAAGACAACATGAACCCCTCACTTTGAAGCTATTGGGAAAGACTACTGCACCCACACCAGTCCAATGTGCAATGGGCGCGCGATATAGAACGCATGCGCAGTGCGAACGCAAAGAAAACTGTGCGATATTTGTCCAATGCAGGACAATAGCACATGAAGCAAGGCGCAAATAGCAACACACAATTTTTTTAACAATATAAAAATTCAAATATCAATTTATTAATTTTTTAAGGTTATATATTAATATCACAATTAATTATTAATTAATAAACATAAATAATAAAATATCTAAAAAAAAAAAACTCTAAAGATTTAACTATTTGTAATTTTAAACTTGCCATCTTTTCTATTTATCATGATTTAGGTCTAAATTTTATTGCTTAAATATCCGCTCATATTTATTTGATAGAAGTTTTTATAGGATTAAAATTTGTTTCTATTTTTTTCTATCTTTTGCAAACATATTTATTTTTATATTTTGCTTCAAAACCATCCATGTGCAATTTATATGATTTTTGGTATATAAATAAATTGCGTCATGGAAAAATGCGTGCGTCGGTTGGTATAATCACTTACTCCAGGAATTACACCGTGGTGTGCCATTCGTTGTTAACAATAGCTAGACTTGTTCTCCAATCCCCTCAATAAGCTCTTAAACCTCATGAAATTCCACCCAAAGCTTAAAATATGAACTCCATACCCTAACCTAGACCTCCATATTCATTCCCTTCATTAATTAAACCTTGTAAATCTCATTTCTTAAAGTGATACAACAACAATAACAACATCAAGCCTTTGTCCCACTACGCGTGGTCGGCCACATGAATTCTTTTTATCCATTATGTCCTGTTAAAAGTCAAATTCTCATTTAAATCTAATAAAGAAAAATAATTTTTAATATTTTCTAACAAGTCTTTTTAGGTCTACCTCTACCTTTCTTAACATAATTCAAATCTAATACCTCTACTTTCCTAACTAGGTCATCTGAAGGCCACTATTTTGTGTGACCAAACAATCTAAGGCGACTCTCTCTAATCTTATCTTGCACTGGCGCTACTCCGACCTTTTCATGTATATGCTCATTTTGTATCCTATCTCTAAGGATAAAGCCACTCGCCCACCTGAGCATCCTTATCTCTGCAACACTTAACTTAGTATTATGCTTCTCTTTTAATGACCAACATTTCATATCCTATCATTTCATAAAGTGATAAATAAAACAAAGTCAAACTAGTCCAAACTCAGCTAGTCTTGATTCTCCCACCAGCACACCCCTCTAATGACCTAACAAATCTACCATAAAACCTAGATAATATTTTCACATCTTAAAATAATTATCGATAGCCATTTTAAATCTCCAATTCAACAATAAAACCTCCCACCACATTAATATAACTTTTAGAGTTAAGGATTGACAGTTATAATGGATACATAGCTTGGAAGTTTTTATAAGAAGAGGATAACCTAAAGGCTTAAAATTAAATTTTATAAAACTGCAATTAGACTATCGATATTATATTAATTTAAATGTTGGCTGAAAACAATCATTGATATCTAAGTTTAGCATGATAAAAATGAGAATATAAAGATGATATGTCGCAAAATAAGGTGGAATAAACTGAAAAATGATTATATTAAAATAATATCCGTTGAAAATAAGGTGATTCAAAATACATTTCGGTATTTTGAATATGTAAATCAAAAAAGTAGAAAATGCACCCCTAAGGCAAGTTGATAAGATTACTATTAGAGAATTAGAAAAAAAAAGGGACATGACAGTTGAGAATTATGTATTCCAATCCAATCAAACATTTTTTAATAAGTTAGTAACCATCCCAATATAAGATCAAGAATTTCTTTGTAAAGTTTAGTCTCAAATACAAATAATCACCAAAACCAAAAAAAAGAAAATAATAAAAATTAAGTTCTCTATGCAAAAGTTCATAAGTTACAAATATATAGAAAAACGGAAGTCTGCGATGATTGAAAACTAATTATTAAATTAATTAGTATAAGGTCGTACTCTTTTTTCCATAAAAGTGGCACCTTTTAAGCATCTTGCTGAAGTACACTTCTAGTTGTGTTCTTGACTATTTATGATCTATTTTAGAAACTACAGAAAACTTGAATAAATTATCACTTAAGTCTCAAATATATTTTTTTGACATAGAAGTATGTTTTTTGGAAAAGCCATTCAAAAGGTAGGTGACTCCTTTTATGGTTGTATGTGAAAGACACATAATATTAAAAAAAAATTACTCTTTATTAGTCAAGATCTATATGTAATATTTAATTCAATAAATTTCAAATTTCTCTCAATAATCTAATAACATACACAGAAAAAAAAAAAGAATAAAAGAAAAAAGAAAATAAAAATATTCTAAAACAGTTTTATTTTCAAAGACATAAATTTCTATTTTCTATCTTCTTTCTGATATTTGCAGCAAGACCAAGCATTTTTTACCTTGAATTGCAAGAACTGTCTCTTTCTTCCTCTTTTGAAAGTTAAAACTAATCAACATCATGTTTATGTTCAACTAATCATCGCAACAATTAGGGTCTTCTCATTCTGGAATTACAGTAGAAGAGTTTAACCTTGATCCTAACTTAAGACTGCTAATGAAGTCAAATAGTCAATCACCTAGGCTTCTCCAGACACCTAATCAGGAAGTTCTTAAAACTTCTTATTGCAAAGAAATTAATTTCAATTATGCTTTGCCAACCCCATACAAATTAAAAGACTGCATTAAATAAGCATTAAATTTCTCCCTTGGGGGTTTTATAACACCTTTTAATCATTCCTTGATGACAATTAATGTCTTAAAATCCTAAACAAGATTAGAATAATTCCTCAGTTTCTTGTCATGAAATTACTGCTTTCTATGCACAAGCCATTTTCATATGCTCGAAAAAAAATGGTTTGGAACATCCTTGTTTAGTACCAAATCATAGCAATGGGTGACAGCAATTTCGGCATTAGCATTCTAACCTCAGCCATATCCAAACATATTACTAAATTATGATTTCAAACTCTCAGAATTTACCATTGGCAAGCATTTATGTCGACACTTGCATGTTGACATCACGATCAACATGCAAGTCGTCTATCTTTCTCCAAACTCAAATATAATTCTTTATCATGATGCTATTCAAGTTAATTAGTAAAATCAGTCTTGCAGATCAATAAGAAACTGATTTTTCACTAAGTATGAGTTCCATTACTGATTCCTTCACAAATTGGCCCCTTTATCCTCTCGTAACACCCAAGCCAAATTATCCAACAAGTTGCTTATTATAAAAGCATACCTTATGATAAGAAACATCATCATAAATTTTACATTTCTTTCTTTTCTTAAGAAAAAAAAAAAAAGATACCCTTTTGTATTTCAACTTCATGTAAATATGAATGATGGATGCATAGCCCAATCTGATGACATAGGTAAATCAACGGATCTGATGAATCCCAATTAAACCCAAACCCAACAATTTCCTGATTCTGATACTAAAACTCAGTGTGCCTCAGCGATAATATTACCGAAAAAACAGGCATACCACCAAACAATGGACTTTAGTTTCTTCTAAAAATTCAATCAGAACTCCACCTTCAATCAAATACAGCTACTCATGCCCCCGAGGTACCCATTCCAAAAAAAAAATCCAGATTTAAGCAAAATCACGTCAGTTTCGATTAATAAAGGACCCAAACGAGCTACTTGTCCGTGCTGATATGTCACCGCTAATTTCTCAAAAATCAGTTCACATGCGAAAATGCAGAGCAGTTTCCAAATTACACATATAGATCTTGTAGGAAAAAAAAAAACTGAAGCCAGAGGTTACGATCGATCTAAGAAAATAAAAAATCATAGATAGAAAAATTAATCTAAATCCGTAATGCCGCACTCATCGGATCTCTCAACTAGAGATCAGACCGATGGTTTCCGGAAAACGGATCAGATCTGCGTGAAAAAAAAAATCCTTACATCTCTGAATTGGACGAGGCCGAGTTCGCCGAGATAGGTGATAGCCCTGTGCGCAGACTCCACTGGGATTATGAGCTGCACGAAGCTCATCTTCTCCGAGCGGAGGAAATCCATCGCAGGCAACTCGTTGCAGAACCTCATCGCCGCTCAACCAAAGCGGCCGTGGCGAAGAAATCTCGAAAAAATCATACGAATTTCAGATCTTAGAAGAAACTAGGCTGACCGCTGTCGCGGTGGTCGGTCGCTCTTCAACTGCCATTTGAAGCGGAAAGTTCCGTTCTCTCCCAAAGAGAGCGCTGGAAGTAGGGGTGTTTTCTGGGTCAACCGAATTCTACCCCTTTTTGCAGATGGGTCTTTTTTCCGAATATGAACTCAACTCAGCATAACCCAAATGACCAGAAAACTTTTGAAATTTGATTTTTTTTATTAAATATAAAATATAAAAAGTGACTCTCATTTTGCTCCCATAGCAAGGCATAGAAGCTCTTACAAAACCTCTCTTCCACCAACCCAATGCAGCAGAATGCCAACGTCCTTTCTCACCCTCCTAGTGACAGCAGAGTACTTATGTCCTTTTTTACCCTACTAGAGATGGCAGATTACCGATGTCATTTTTCACTCTCCTGGTGACGACAAAGTACCAACATCCTTTTCCACCCTCCTGTTGACAGCAGAGTACTAACGTTCTTTTTCACCCTTTTAGCGATGGTAGTACACCTGTTGCAAATCTATTTTCATGACTTATGTTTTGATGATTGACAAACACTATTGATTCTCTTGGACTGTCTGTTACTTCACATTTTCAGGAATCAAAGATCGGACGAACAAACGAAGCCAGTTCAAGATTGCATTCAAAAAGAGCTATATTATTATAGGGTGGTGGCATAAAAGAAAAACTAAAAAAAAATTATATAGATTTCATTCATTATTAATAAAATGCATGGTCAAGCAAATAAATCAATCGGTGTTTATGGATGTCTACAGGTCAGATGTAACGCAAACTCTACTAGTGCACTTAAACAACTGTGATTGAATATTAGAAAGCTCCTTGGTGAATAATTTATTCCATTCATTCCTTGTATTCCTAAAAAACAGTTGAACATCCCGATGAAGATAGGTTAGAAAGTGCTCGAACATTTAACCATTCAACACATTAGAAGGGCAATCATGCATAATTATGCAATTAGTAAATAAATCACAAAATTCTGCAGTGTTAAACTTATGATCAGTCATAGAAATAGATGTATTAGAACTTGTTTACAATATGAGCTGGCCTATATCACGTACAAAAATTTAAGTAGGTTATTAGACCTAATACAACTGTCCCAAGACTAACCAAGAGATGGGTGAATTGGTAATTTAAAAATTCTTTTGAATTTTAGAAAACCTATTTAAGATATTTAACATAATGAAAAATTTTCACAAAAATATTTTTCAACCACAATAATTTAAAGTGCAAAAAATAAAAATATAGTCAAATTAAAAGAATATAAGAACACCAAATTTTATAGTAGTTCGGTCCAACTAGATCTACGTCCACTCCCTGAAGACTCCTTCAGGTATTGTACTAAATCAAAAGTGACTCTCATTTTGTTCTCATAGCAAGGCAGAGAAGCTCTTACAAAACCTCTCTTCCACCAACCCAATGCAGCAGAATACCGACGTCCTTTCTCACCCTCCTGGTGACAGCAGAGTACTTATGTCCTTTTTTACCCTCCTAGAGACGACAGATTACCAATGTCATTGTTCACTCTCCTGGCGACGGCAAAGTACCAACATCCTTTTCCACCTTCCTAGTGACAGTAGAGTACTAATGTCCTTTTTCACCCTCTTAGTGATGGTAGAGCACCAACATCCTTTTTCACCTTTCTGGTGACGGTAGAGTACCGTGATCTTCTTTAAAAATCTTCTCTCAAAAACCTTTAAGGAAGTATGTAAAAACATGAAGAACAAACAAGAGATCCTTACTTTTGGGAAACCTTGTGAATCCTCTCACAAATTCCTCTGAAAAGATCTCTCAATCTTTACTCCTAAAATAATTTCCCAAACACTCCCCTTTTCCACTCTTGACAGAAATTCACAGCAAGAACTTTGAGAGTCAGTTTTTTAGGACACATATATATGAAAGATAAAAAAAATCATCTAGAAAACTAAAAAGTTCAAGTTGAATGTACTTTAATCATACCATACGATAACACTTCATTTGTACAAACAGTTCAAAAATCTATGTACGATCCTATATGAACCTGATTTGGTACTATGTCAGTCGTCTGTATGAACTGACATCTTATAGTACGAATAATTCAATTTTGAACTAATTTGTCCGGTACGATTATGTACGAACCAAATTCTTGCACTATGAATCATATGCATGAATCATACATCATATAGTACGAACTGTTTAAACAAATCATGCTTCATTTTGTATAAACGTGAATGACCCCATTTCGTACTATATGAGTTGTTTGTATGAACCCAACATCGTATAGTACAATCAGATAAAAAATTTATAAGGTCATTTTGGATGTACTAATATGCATCCATTTTATACTCTGTGAGTTTTCTGTACGAGGTCCACTTCATACAGAATGAACAGTTCAAAAATTGATGCTTTCGTTTGGGACGATCTGGTACGTCATTATTTCACACTCTGTGAGTCATCTTTATGAAATATTATCATACAGAATGAACATTATAAATGAAAATTACCATACATGATTTGATTAACTTTGTTTTGGAAGAACTGCCATTACAAACCGTCCAGTATAATTTTAAAATCGTACAGTACAATTAGTTTTAAAACTTAAAATTTTGACTCACTCCCCCAGTGTATGTGTATACGGTTACCAAATCATAATCACTCTCTCTCAAACTTATGAAAAATAAAAAAATTACATACTGCATTATATGAAACCCTAATTTAATCTATCTTGAAGTCTTCAGCAGTCTGGAGTATAATTTTCCTAAAATATTAATACACATAAACAATGCAAAGAAAATATATCCAATGTATGTTATGAGAATTAATAATCATAAAAATAATATTTTGGTATCATCAAAAAGTCATATGACATAAAACTTAATCTTGAAATCTAAGTTGCAATAATCTCCCCCTTTTTTATGATGGCAAAATAATTATTATTTGAGTTAACACTTAAGGTCATTTTTCTCCTAAAATCCCCCTCAATGAATGCTCAATTAAAAAAAATAAGGGATTTCAATCAAAATCAAAATAATAAATTAAAAACAAACCCTTAAATAAACCCTAAAAATACACACAAAACCTAACAATAATATTTAAAAACATAAGATACATACACAAGAAAACACACATGATTAAATCACACATAAATCACACACACATCAAATAATAACTAATGATTCCCTCTTTTAACAATAGTAAAAAAGTGAAGTACCTCTTGAAAAGATAAGTTTCTATTGATAAATTAAATAGATGACGAAGAAGAATATTTTAAGCTATTTGCAAAGATAATATTAACTTCCTAATGCAAAAAAGAAAGTCTCATATTTTAAATCAAAGAACAATTAAGGTAAAAAAAACGTCAATCAGATTCACTATTTATTTAAGACATATCAAATAAAAATAATTATTCTAAAAATGATAAAATAAAGATTAATTAATTTCTAATTTAATAGTGAAGATTATTGCTGATTATATTGATTTGTATAAGAGATAGAAAAATCAAGGAAAGAATTGAATGAAACTTTCAATTGGCGATATTGTGCATCTTTTCAATTTTTGGCACAGTTTGTGCATTTTTTCAAATTTTTACACAGTTTGTGCATCTTTTTAATTTGGGTTAATTTTGTGCCTCTTTTCAATTTGGCGAACATTGCGCGTTTTTTTAAACTTGTGGCACATTTTGTGCATCTTTTCAAACCTGGCATGTTATGTGCATATTTTTATATTTTTTATCTTTTTAATATCAATAAATATTAAAATAAAATCTAATAATAAACAAAAAATATATACATTGAAAAAGAAATAATATAAAAATATAGCATCTATTTTGCAACAATTATAGATAAGTAATATTTATCCATAAGAGAAATTCTCATTTTATTAAACACTTGTAACACATATAATCAATACATCATACTAGAAAAGGAAGAACTGCAACATAGACAAGCTCATACATAAGATCAAGAGAAACAACACAACAACAAGTACAATAGAAAATTCTCAACTAAAATACTGAGGGACCCTAGTCTGGAGGTGGCTGAGGGGTGAACATCATAAAGTAGCTATTTATCATAGCAACTTGCATGTTGATAAAGTCAAACTGTCCTCTAATTCACCCCATGTCTTCATTATATATTGCATCCTATTGGTTTAAGTGAGTCGCAATTTGATCAAAATGTTGATTAAAATGAGATTCGAGTCTATCAAAATGCTAGATCATTTCTTGATAGAAATATTGATCAGGTCCAAAAGTAAGTGCAAGTGCTCCTTCTTCATCAAATTCTTCACTCTCAGTTTCTTGGTCACGGTTAAAAAGTGCATGGAAAGAAGTATAAGTAAAATAGATAAGAAGCTGAGTAGGTGGATCACAATGAATCAGTTTGTACTTCTGTTCTAGAATGTAGGCTACCAAATATCCTAAAGACATTTTTTTCTCCTATTATGAGGGTGACTAATATCAGAAAGCTTATAGATATAGTCCATAATCAATTGGGCTTCATTTATAGGAGGGTTGATCATGATAAGGTATGTGACTATAGATAATAAAGGAGTTAGATTGATACAATCATCAGCTTTATGTATAATAGAAGTCCTCAAAACATGTTGGATGATCCTAGCATTTTGGTTTAGGGAGTACACATGAGAAAGGTGATTGACTTGAGTAACACCTCTAATAGTTTGATTAATTTCAGACCAGTCAAAATTAGATCTTGAGGTGATTATGTGATCTAAGATATAGAATGGTATCTAATTATTCCTTGGTTATTTCTACTCTCTGCTTAAAGACATATGAGTCATCTTAATGTGATTTTCATTCATTCTCATGTTCGCAAGAAAAAAATGGAATGTGTTATGATGATAGGCATAAATCAGAGTGAGGATGAAAGAGAATTGAGTTGAAGCAAAAAGAGGCATAACTAGAAAGTTAATCTCTATTTGGATTAGACGACGAGATGGGGTAATCTTAGCTTCAAAGTAACAATAATAGGCTTCCTCGTTATCTTTTAAAGGAAAGTTCTCATTGAGTCTACCCGAATGTGAGGAAGAGGCATTGGAAGTTCATGGATGCTTGCTGGTGCTAGCCATTTCTAGAGTTAGGATACGAGATGATTTGAGATTGAAAAAGATTGTGAAGAAAAGC